AACCACCATAAATAAGATCTTGGTGGACTGTGGGGCAACCATCAACATCATCCCTCACTTTATGCTGAGAAAAATAGGCAAGAGCGATGAAAACATCAAGCCTCACAACATGGTCCTGTCGAATTATGAAGGCGGAATAGGGACCATTATGGGTGTGATCCAACTAGACATCAAGGTGGGATCCATCCTTCGACCAACTATGTTTATGGTCATATCGGCCAAACCAAACTATAATCTTTTGTTGGGCCGAGAATGGATACATGGTGTTGGAGTTGTACCATCATCAATGCACCAAAGATTGATACTATGGCGTCCTGATGGAATGGTCGAAAATATAGAAGCGGATCAGAGCTATTACTTGGGCGAAGTGAATCACCTAGGGATGGCAGACTTCGACAAAAATTTGGCTCACATTGGGCCATGCCCAGCATCTGACTTCGACTTGGCGCCATCGCCAAATGCTTTTTGTTCCTTATACCTGCACCCTGAGCATGGTTTTCAATGGGACAGAGAAGACTTGTCCCACATTGATTTCAGTGGGCTAACTGACATCCAGCCAACTGGTTGGGGAAGCGAATTCAGTGACAATGACTGGGTCACAATCACTGCAGCGAATTTCGGCTTATGTAGCCGAAACAAGGATGATAACGGCTCTTGAAGCCGAAGTAAAATATATGGCCACACAGGCCAATGATCAAGAGTTACCTTCTGTAGGTCCTGGAAAGGATTTCGAACCGGAGCCTCCTGATATCGTGCAGGAAGAAATGCAGGAACAAAGGCTCGACACCATCTACGACGATGAGCCTTTGGGATTCGAAAAGGACCCCTTAGCGAACAACATCAAAATGTTAGCGCAGGATCCTTTAGAAGAAATCAACTTGGGCAAAGGGTTAGAGAAAAAGCCAACTTACATTAGCACAAAAATAGACCCAGAACTCAGGTTGGAAGTGATCCATTTGTTAAAGGAGTTCAAGGACTGCTTTGCATGGGATTACGACGAGATGCCTGGTCTCGACAGAGGATTGGTAGAACTTCAGTTGCCAATCAAACCTGGGAAGAAGCCAGTCAAGCAAAGTCCAAGACGCTTCGCTCCAGAAATACTGTCGAAGATCAAAACAGAAGTCGAAAGACTGCTGAAGTGCAAATTCATACGAGCTATGAGGTATGTCGAATGGATTGCAAACATTGTGCCAGTGATTAAGAAAAACGGTACATTGAGGGTATGTATAGATTTCAGATATTTGAACGCTGCTACACCCAAAGATGAATATCCTATGCCTGTGGCGGAAATGCTAGTCGATTCTGCCGCTGGCCATGAGTACCTGAGCATGCTCGATGGTTATTCAGGATATAATCAAATATTCATTGCCGAAGAAGATGTGTCGAAAACAACTTTTCGATGCCCCGGAGCTTTAGGCACTTACGAGTGGGTAGTGATGCCTTTTGGCCTAAAGAACGCTGGGGCAACATATCAGCGAGCGATGAACTCTATCTTCTATGATTTTATTAACACTTTTATGCAAGTATATATTGATGATATTGTTGTGAAATCTGTTTCCAGGAAGAACCATATAGACCACCTTCGACAATCATTTGAAAGAATGAGAAAACATGGTCTGAAAATGAACCCTTTGAAGTGTGCGTTCTATGTAAAAGCTGGAGATTTCTTGGGCTTCGTCGTCCACAAGAAAGGAATCGAAATCAACCAGAACAAGACGAAGGCAATCTTGGAAGCGAAAGCGCCAGCGAACAAAAAAGAACTGCAATCTCTGCTAGGAAAGATAAATTTCTTAAGGAGATTCATATCTAACCTAAGTGGAAAAGCTCAAGCCTTCTCACCCTTACTTCGATTGAATAAGGAAAGATTCGAATGGGGGCAAGAGCAACAAAAGGCCTTCGACAAAATCAAAGGGTATCTCACCAAGCCACCTATTTTGGTGCCTCCTTGCAGCAACAGGAGTATGAGATTGTACATAGCTGCATCAGACAAAACTTTGGGAAGCATGTTAGCCCAAGAAGATGAAAATGGAGTCGAAAGACCCATTTACTATCTTAGTAGAGTTTTGAACGATGCAGAAACTAGATATAGCGAAGTTGAAAAATTATGTCTATGTCTTTATTTCTCTTGTACAAAGCTCAAGCAATATATAAAACCAGTTGATGTGTATGTTTCGTCTCATTTTGATGTTTTCAAATACATGTTGTCGAAACCCATCCTGCACAGCCGAATTGGCAAGTGGGCGCTAGCGTTAACTGAGTACTCCTTGACCTTTATGCCTCTTAGGGCAGTGAAAGGGCAAGTGGTGGCAGACTTTATAGTCGACCACTCAATTCAGGTTGAGAATATAAATTATGTGGAGATAGAGCCTTGGAAATTCTACTTCGATGGTTCCAGCCATAAAGATGGAACAGGAGTAGGGGTCTTGATTATTTCTCCAGAAAAAATTCCAACAACATTCAAGTACAAGATATCAGGTATCTGTTCGAACAATGAGGCTGAGTATGAAGCTCTAATTACTGGCCTTGAGATATTGTTGGAATTGGGGGAAACTCGAGTCGAAATAATGGGAGACTCAGAGTTAGTCATTAAGCAAGTCACAAAAGAATATAAGTGCATAAGAGAAAATCTTATTATGTACTTTGTGATAGCAAATCGTTTATTGGAAAAATTCGAAATGGTCAACATTCGACACATACCCAGATTGGAAAATCAAATAGCCAATGATTTGGCACAAATTGCATCTGGGTACAAAATTTCAAAAACGAGATTACAAAGAGCAATCGAAGTCCGAGAAAAAATAAAAGCAACTAGTCTGTCACCAACAGATTTGAAATCGACAAGACTAGGGTATGCTGATCAAAGGAACTTTGAAATATCGTTCATAGACAATTTGTCAGAGCAAGATTGGAGGAAACCCATTGTGGATTATCTACAAAATCCAGCAGCTTTGATAGAATGGAAAATAAAATATAGGGCGTTGAGTTACATACTCATGGGTAATGAGTTATTTAAAAAGACGCCTGAAGGAGTACTGCTAAAGTGCTCAAGTGAAACTGAAGCATACATAGCCCTTTCGACTACGCACGCTGGAGCATGTTGGGCTCACCAAGTAGGCCATAAGATGAAATGGTTGTTGTTTCGACAAGGACTATACTGGCCCACCATCTTGAAAGATTGTGTTGAGTTCGCGAAGGGTTGCCAGGAATGTCAAGTCCATACAGGCATCCAACATGTACCAGCAAGCGAACTTCACTCAATAGTGAAACCATGGCCCTTTAGAGGATGGGCGTTGGACCTTATTGGAGAGATTCGACCAGCATCATCAAAGAGCCAGAAGTATATATTGGTAGGCATTGATTATTTCACTAAGTGGATCGAAGCTATTCCTTTAGTCAATGTAGACCAAGAAAATGTCATTGAATTTATTCAAAAGAACATTATCTTTAGATTTGGAATCCCTGAAACTATAACGACTGATCAAGGATCAGTGTTCACCGGTCGAAAGATGCAGGAATTCGCTCAAGAAACAGGCTTTAGACTCCTAACATCAACACCTTATTATGCACAGGCAAATGGTCAAGTTGAAACAGCGAATAAAATAGTGATTGGCCTGATAAAAAAGCATGTAGGAAAGAAGCCAAAAAATTGGCATAAGACGTTAGACCAGATCTTGTGGGCCTGTCGAACGTCCCCAAAAGAAGCCATAGGTACAACACCATATCGGCTAACTTTCGGTCATGACGCAGTGCTGCCAGCGGAAATTTGTCTTCAATCAGCAAGGGTTCAGAGACATCATGATATCCCCTCTGAGGTTTATTGGGATATGATGTTAGACGAACTAGTAGATTTGGACGAAGAAAGACTACACGCTCTCGACCTACTAAGGATTCAGAAGAAAAGAGTGGAAGACTCTTACAATAAAAAAGTAAAACCTAAGGCATTCTCGCCTGGAGATTTAGTTTGGAAGGTGATTCTCCCCATGGATCGAAGGGATCGAAGCATGGGAAAATGGTCACCCAAATGGGAAGGACCGTTCAGAATTATCCAAACTTTTTCTGGTGGAGCTTATGAAGTCGAAGAGTTAGGTGAAGATAAAAGACTCTTGAGAGTAAACGGAAAATATTTGAAAAAATATAAACCTATGCTCCAAGAGATCAAAATAAATAGCAAGTAATGACCAAATTAACCATAAAGAGCCAAAATGGAAAATTATATAAGAATTAGCCAAAATGGTTACATTGTCAAACAAATATTACAATACATGGTTAATAAATGGCTGAGCAAATTAGAAAGGGATAGAATCTCTAAGTCGAAGGTACTTGGCCTGCTGCAACTCCAGCCTTTTGTTACACAAGGCAGTCGCCTGGGAAAGTTTGGCGATCTGGTCATCGAAGGCTTGGGCCTTCTCAGCGAACTCTAGGCCTCGTGTAACTTCAGCTTGGCTCTCTGTGTCCGAAACAGTCGATAGGAGCTCCTCTTTGCGCTTGGTGTTAGCATTTATCTTGGCCTCCAGCTCTTCGATCTGCGCCTTTATAGAGGCATTGTCTCGATCTATGGCGTCAATTTCTTCTTGCTTGGATGCCTTCTGCTTCGACAACTCTGCAATTCGAGAAGTCGTTTCAGCTACCTCAGTCCAGGCAGAAGAACTCTTGCCATGTAGCGCTTCGAGCTGGCTGTTGAAGCCCCTCTGACGTCGATAGTCCGCAGAGACTTGGTCAACAATGGAGTATAACTCCAAGATAAAGCTGGAAACCTCTGAAGTCACAGCAAGCAAATCGACTGCATTCAAAACAGCTCCCAAACAAGACGGAGCAGTAGGATCCCCCTCCAAAGCCTTCATCAGATCCTTTTTGAAGAACTGAGCCTTGACCTTCATCAAAGCCTCATCAAGAGGAGAAGTCGAAGTGGACTTCCCCGATGCAGTAGAAGCATCATGACTAAGGTCAGATGAACTTCCCCTAATCTCAATGATGGCATTCAGGTAGCCAATAGGATCCGTTTACTTCAAAAGGGCCAAGTCTTCTTTAGACTTGGGCTTTGTCGAGGTGGTAACCCTTACAGCAGCTTTGGCTTGGGGTTGAAGTTGTTGAGTAGCGTCTGCATCGACATGACTCTCTTCGACCTGTAGTTCAGTAGTGCCAGCATCAACATGATCCCCTTCGTCATGTTGCTCCTCTGTCAGATCGACCACTTGAGTTTCCTTTGGTTGTTGTTCCTCTGCTTCGGCAATGGCTTCATCGTTCGCCAATTCCTCCTCTTGTTGCCTACTGTGTTCAGCAGAGTCTTGTGTCTCTGAAGTTTTTGGTGCTGAACTTTCGGTGGTCTCCTGAAAATAGAAGAGGAAGAATCCTCTGGTTGAGAAAGATACACAATCGAACGTGAGCATCAACACCTAAGTTAAAAATGGTCAGAGAAACTACCTGTAGAGGAATTTCAGCCCCAGGGCTGGAATTATCACTTTCGACGGGTTTGTTGAGCAAAACGTTCAGCTCCTCCTCCGTGGGCTCTTCGATGATCACGGGAGGTGGCCTGGGTCTTCTCCCTGCAACCTTTATTCTGATCATGGGTCGAGGCTCAGGGGCAGGGGCATCTTTCTTCAGTTTTCTCCGTTTAAGAGGAGCGGGGGGAGATTCGTCCTCGTCGTCACTCCCAGATTCGACCGTTAGTGCAGGTCGTTTCTTGGGTGCAGGTTCCTGAAAACCAAATGGAGTTCGATTTAGAGTGCCACATCGAAAATCAGGATGTTAAAACCAGAAGGGAATAATAAAAGTCTGTTTACCGGTGCTGAAGGTTTTGTCGAGGGACCTCCTCCCTGATGGCTTTCTGTGGTTTTTACCGGTGCTGATGGTTTTGTCGAGGGACCTCCTCCCTAATGGCTTTCTGTGGTTTTCTTGGCTGCAGGCTTTCGAACAACTGAAAGAAGACGCGTTCACAAGTTATAATTAACAAGTTATAAGTCGAAATGGAAAGACAAATATAATTTGGAGAGTGAACGTACATTTCTTTATTTTGTCAAGGACCAGAACGAAGGACTTCTGGAGTTCTTCCACAAAATCTTTTTCGTCGAAGAACTCTTCAGCATAATAACTCTTCCACCAGTCTTCGAAAGATGGTGAACAGAGGAAGTTAAGTTGATAGTCGAACAGTGAAAGTACTGTTCGACCAGCGTACCTGCCAATGTGCTTGGTGGCAGCATCCTCAGTATAATCATTGCAAAAATATAACATTGATTTCTCCCTAGGAAAAATGGGAGAAGGAAGTGATTGGATGATACCAAACTGTCGAGAGACCAAGTTTGGCTGATAAGCAATCAAGCTCAGGTGATTCTTGGAACTCTTAAAGCGCAGTGGCATTATTCTGGAAGTGAGAAATGCTTCCCACATTGTTGTGTGTTCTTCGAGATGAGGGTCACCTGATGATTTGGGATGGGGCCTGGTGAACCATTCTGGACCAAACTTTCGACGGGCGAAAGGAGCCATGGTCAAGGTGAATTCTTTTCTTCCTGCAAACATCAAGACGAAGTTTGCAAAGGTCTGTTGGAGTTCCAGCCCATCCTCAGTGGGAGTCAGTAGTGCCAGTCTGGTGCCTTCGATACGCCTTTTGGCTATCTCAGGAGCTTGTTCATTTATCTGAGTTTTCTGAGGTAAGAAAGACTCAAAAGTGGCATTTAGCCATAGTTGTAGTAGCCAGAAGGGTCCTGCAAGCAACAAACTGGCTCTATTTTCGATGACCTTTAACAGAGTCGCTCCACTGCTTATCGACTCATACAGGTTCGCCAGGATTAATTCGGCCAAACAGATGTTTTGACCGTGGTGAAGCTGGGTAGCAAGGGTAACCATTTTCTTCGTCACCTGTAGAGACTTCGTGCAGAACACGAAGCGTGACAGCCAAAGGGCTAGAAACGCAATGTGCTCCACGTCCGTCACATTGGCTGTCGACCTGTCATGGTAGTGGTTGATGTAGGTGGTGTAAGTGGGTTTGGTAGCTGAAAACCCAATCTGGTCTTCAGACATTTCCTCTGGGTCAAAGTAATCCCCAGTTGGTCGAAGACCGGTGATGGCAGCCACGTCGAAGAGAGTGGGTGTTATCATTCCACAAGGCAGGTGGAAAGTGACGTGGGTATAGTCCCAGAATAGAAAAGAGGCTACCAGCATCTCAGGGGAGTAGTTGAGACCAGTCTTCGATAGCATGACTAGGTCATAAATCCCCAGGTTCTTCCAAATCGAAGCCTGGCTTTTTTCCATCTTCTCTAGCCAAGCGCTGTAGTCTGGTGTAAGGATAGGGCTAGACCTAAAAGCCCTAACACCTCTGTTGAAGAAACGAAGATCTATCTTTTCTTTAGCAGGATCTTCGTTGTCATCTGCAGCCTTTTTGGAGCACCCAACAGGTTTGAGTGCCTCAAGCACCGGGAAGAAGTTCTTGATCTTCATGGAGTCATCAATGCATGTAGATAAAGGGCCAGACATGGCGAAAACCTGGTTGGAGTATCCAACCGAAATCAACAGTTGAGAAGAATAAACTTCACGCTCAGCAGTTCCCAGGGGTTCAAGAACCCTTCGCATGCCTTTAGAGTTAACTGTTGGAACAGTTGAGAAGATTTTTGGTTGGGCAGTTTTAGAAGGAATGTTAGAACTGGGAGCATTAGAAGAACCTGAAGCCATTTTTGGGTTAAGATGAAGGTGAATGAAGAACAAGGTTTTTGCAGAAATCTTTGTTCAATAAGAAAGTTTGGATGAAGAATAGCGTGAAAAAGTCCCACAAGGGGCACTTAAGCGCTATTTATAGTGATTGGAAAAATCACAAAACTCGAGGTCATTTAATATTGCAGATGATAGTGGGGCACATGGCGCTCCTTCGCTGACATAGCCGTTCTGCAGAAAGGAAACGGTGCAGCGTGCACCATCGTTTTTGGGAAATTGTCATGATGACAATCTGTGAAAAGACATTGGGCACGCTAAACGCCTTACTGAAGTGACGTCTTAGGTACAGGTGGAATGATGGCTTTTTCTTGGGATTGTCAGTTGGTTGGTAGAAGACAAAAAGCGCACAGGTTAATCTGTGGCTAAGAATGAAGGACAGGTGTCGAGTGGAATCTCAAAGAATGCCTTTTTCTTTTCAGCGTCGAAATAAGGCATTCTTGGGGGGCAATTTCTTGGCTCCTAAATTCGACACCCTTGTTTTTATTAATATAGACCATTAATCATGAGGGATGGTTTCGACCAGCTGATTCTGTCGAAATGCTCATCAGAAGGTGGCAAGGTACTTAGAGAATTTCTTCTAAGTAGGAATCTTGTTGCCTTCGATGTCGAAGGAGCTTCTCGACAAAGGTATTCAATGCTCAGAGTGGAACAGTTTGAGATTCGAATGTTTGGAGGGAAAACGGTTCCCAGCAGTTACCAAGTGCAACGTGCCAAGATCAGGAGCGTCGAATGCTGTGAGCATGCCAAGTGGTGTCATCTCGAAGCAGCGTAACTGCCCAACGGTTACTTGAGATGTGTTTAGTATAAATACTAGTTGTTCGCGTAGTTTTCGCGTGTGTTCATCATTATATACAAGTCACTCATTTAGATTCAAGTACCCAGTGTGAGCGAAAGAATTGTTGAGAATGTATGTATGAAACACCATTTAAATTAATCAAAGTCTTTTATATTCCAGAACTTTATTGCCTTTCATTTACTCTTCCCAGTCGAAGCCTTTATTTACTACCTTTCATTTATTCTCTCAAGCTTTTCTTCATGCAATTTACATAAAGTGTCTTTACTTTCCTGTCATTAACCATCATTAGACTTAGTCAAACCCCAAAAAATCAACCATGTCATAGGATCAATCTGATCGATCCTGCGAGTCACCAAATAAGTAACCTTTTAGAGGATCAGCGGTTGTTTACCAATTTCCACGGTAAACAGACGGGTGAAGGATTTAAGGAGTATGCTCAAAAATGGAGAGACCTTGCCGGAAGGGTGCAACCACCTTTAGCCGATCGTGAACTTGTTGACATGTTTTTGGGGACCCTGTCTTGTCCATTCTTTAATCATCTGATTGGAAGCTCTTCAGCCGGGTTTACAGACCTTATCTTGACTGGTGAGAGGATTGAAGCTGGCATCAAAAGTGGGAAGATTCAAGAAGCTACACCTTCTGATGCTCAGAAAAAGTCTTACAGTGGGAAGAAAGAGTCCAATGCTGTGTACAGTCAAAAGAGTCGTCGTGACCAACACGTAGGGGCAGTCCTGATCTCTGGCTCTGCGTCACACCGACAACAGCAAAAGGGAAATCAATGAAGGCCAGACGCGCCTAAAAGATAGTTCACCAACATCAACATGCCATTGTCACAAGCATTGCAGCACATGTTGAAGATGAATCTGATTACGGTGATAAACCCTCATCCGAATCCTAAGACTTCTTCTCCTAACTAAAATCCTGATGCAAGGTGTGCTTATCATTCCGGTAGCCCGGGGTACGACACTGACGATTGTTGGGTGCTGAAATACAAGATTCAGAATATGATTGACGCTAAGGAGATCGAATTCGAGCCTCCTGAGACTCCCAATGTGATCAATGCTCCCTTGCCAAAACATGGCTAGGATTGAGAGACTTTTGTTCATCTGAATTCTGAAGTTGTATTTTTCTTTGCTTATTCAAACAATTATCATGTCAAACTCTTTTATTTCATTAATGCATTACACGTGTCTGTTTTGAATTAATTGTTTTCACTATGCTTAAAATTGCTTCATATTTCCTTTTGGTGATGTTCAAACTCTCGATTAAAGAATTCTAAACCTTTTGAGGGAGGATGACGAAAACGATACCACGATCTTTACAGTATGCTTTTGAACAGACCCCGCTGATGAGGTACATGCATTGTTTCAAATCCTAAACAATGGAGTTATAAGGAAGATAATCCCTAGTCAACCCCTTTGAGCCAAAGAAGTTGGAGTTTTTCTTTTCACAAAAATTAAAACCCTTAATTATAACCTGGGGCAGGGCAGTTCTCTCAGCTGATCCAGATGCACAATGAATGGCATCAAAGAAGTCCTTCCGAAACAAAAGACAGTGATGGTTCCCTATAATCGTCAAGACAGGCAATCATTATCTCTCAAAATGAAAGCCCAATAAGTCAAAACCTATGAAGGAGACTTACACAAAAAACTGGGGCATCCCGCTGACTATAATCATAAAAGAAACAGCTCAGGAAAAAGACAAGGATCGTAAAATAAAAAAGAAAGAGATCCTACAAACTCTCAACGAAAATGACTGCCTGTTCAAAATAAACTATCAGTATCCGAACCATCACCGGAATATCAGAGCAAAGACTTAAACAAGATCTAATGCACGATTAGCTGAGTTTAGGATCGAAGAACATCACGAAGAGCGGGTGGGTACAAATAAAATTTGAGCCTTTATCCTTTGTTTCTTAAACCGTGAACCAAGCCACGTTATAACCCTTAAAAGTCCTAGCTGAAGCATGGGTTAGTTCGAAAGCATACTATTACAAAAGGTATCCTGACTCCTGTAGGGTTTGCTGTAACATCTTGAGTTGACATCACATTTTACAAAATTCACTTGT